GCAGCATCACTAATGCAACTATCAACGAAGAGTCCATCCAAAATCTTCAATTAGTCAAGAGGTCAGAGTCTCAGTCATAAATCCAGCAGAGAACCAACTCCTGCAAGCTGCCCTCTGACCTCTGCACATGTGTATGTGTGAGTGCTTGTATACAGCCGTGTGTGTGTGCAGGCATGTTGCACATGCACCTCACACACACAAACCCCAGAAACCCCCACCTTGAAACCTTTTTTTAAAATTCAGGTTCTTCAATTCCTTGTATTCTTGAGTCCATGCTATCTCTCCATTTGCTAAATATAGTTGTCATTTGGCTCAGGTGCCATGAGTGTACAAACAAGGCTGAAAAGAACTGCAAAGCTAATGTGGCAATTGCAGGAACTAGGAAGCAAACACTTGATTGGAACACGCTTTCCATACGATAAGCACGGGCAAGCACTTTACTGATGGTTATTTGCCCCTCCAGAAACTGTGCAAAATAGGTAATGTTTTTGTATCTCTTTCATGAGTAAAGAAACAGATTCAAAGAGATTAGCAAACTTGTCCAAAACCATTGAATTAACAAGGAACAGATCTGAGCCTTAACCACTAGATTCTACTATCTCACAGGAGTGACGAGTAAGCCTGATTTAATATCACTACTTAGTAATGTAGGAAAGTATCATGACTTAGGTGGGCAGGACGGCTCCATGGATAGAATGCGTGCCACACAAGCCTGACAACTTGAGTGGACTGACTCTCTCTCTATCTCTCTCTCTCTCTCTCTCTCTCTCTCTCTCTCTCTCTCTCTCTCTCTATGTGTGTGTGTGTGAGAGTGTGTATATGTGTGTGTATATGTGTGTGTGTGTGTGTGTGTGTGTGTGTGAGAGAGAGAGAGAGAGAGAGAGAGAGAGAGAGAATTATGGAGGAAGAGCCAAGGCCAACTTGGGTCATATTTTCTGCAGGGTTACAAGGAGCCTTCAAGAGAGATTCAATCCTCTGCTGTTTTTAGCAAGTGGCACCTGGTGCCCAGGGAGGAGAAAATAAAGTCATTCCATCAAAATGCCAGAACATGGGCCCTGGAGCTGCGTTATCAGAGATCCCAGTGACAGGATTCATAAGTAATAACCTAGAAAACTGTTTCAACTGGAACAAATTCTTAACAATATAAAGCAGCTTGTGGCTGCTGCCAAACTTTTCTCTTCAAAGTGACCTACAGTGAGCCTCTTCAAATCTGTTTAATAGAAATTTCAGGCCATTGTTTTGGGCCAGGCTGGAAATAAAGATGGAGACGCTGATGCTAAAGTTTTGAGGCACCAGGCTGAAACTGAGATTAGAGACACAGCAGTCAAATTTCCCATACAAGGCAATTTTAGTTGATATGATAATGAAGTCCCTTGTTCCTTAATCTTTATGTCCCCAAAAGATGGCGTGAAATAATCCAGTATATACTACCATGACTTCCTATTTTTCAAGTCTCTGTCCTCTCATTATATGGAAAATGACTTTGAAATAACCAAGCTGCTTTTGGTTTTGTTTCAACTTTCTTTAAACCCCGTTTGGTTCCATTTGAACACTCATTCTATTTTATATGTTAAATGATTTCCTGGTTCCAGAATAAAAGAATCTATGCAGTTTGCACCTTTAACTCATAATAGTTAGCAGCTGGTTGTCAACTTCATCGTCGCTGGCCTGCTTGGGAAAGGATGTCTTAATTGAGTGAGTCGATGTGGAGGACCCACCCTAAAAGTTGGCAACACCGTCCTTCGGCAGTGGTCCTGGTGTCTATGAGGAGGAGAATGGGAGATGAGCACAAACATTTGTCATTTTCTTTTTCTTAGCGAGGGATGTAATGGGACCAGCTGCTTCGAGCCCTTACTGCCTTGACTTCCCCTTCATGATGGCCCTCACTTGAACTGTAAGCCAAAGTCAACCCTTACCTCTTTGAGTTGCTTTCATTATGATATGGCATCACAGGAACAGAAAAATAAATAAGACACTTGTAACTTTGTTCTTTGACAAGTTTTAGGACTCTTAATGAGATAGTGACTTGCTAATAGAACACACGCATACACACACGCACAAACGCATGCACGTGCACGCATACACACACAGACACCTAAAACATCAACAGATAATTTTTTAATATCTCTGAGTTAGGAAAAAATACAGTAGTTTAAAGCAAAACAACGGAAAGAGCTATGTCTCGTTTATCTCAGTTGCCCTATGCCCCAGAACAATACCTGGCACATGGTACGTGCCTAGTAAATTTTGTTTAATGATTGATGAACATTATCCAGTATATAAGGATGGTTGTGTCCACCACCTGTGCTCCAATCTTTCAAACACCCAGAGACGCTCACAAAATCCACTTACCTGGATCATACAGATCTACATGCCTCAGGGAATTGCTGCAGGTTTTACCTTTTCAAACATTTGACTTTAATACATTTTGGAGCCTTCTGACTTTAAGAAGTAATCCTGTTAGCATAGATAAGTTTCTAGACTAAGTATTAAAATTCTTTTATCTGGTGTTGAAGAATGATAGTCGCCAATACCACTTATATGATGGTTTTCCTTGATTGTCAACTGGGCTACGTCTGGAATGAACTAAAACCCAAGTGGTTAGGTACACACGTGAGGAAATCTTAATTAAATCATTTGAAATGGGAAGATCCCCTTTAATCTTGGCCACACAATCTGCTGGGCTATATAAAGAACATTGAAGAAGGAAGCTCACTGGCAAGTTCATCCCTTTACAGGTATCAAAGCTTAGTTCTTCAGGGTTCTGGCAAACATTGAAGACCAGCTGAGATATCCAGCCTTGTACCTTCTGTTGATATATAGCAATTGTTGGACTAATAGGACCACAGCCTGGAAGCCACTCAAATAAGTCGTGTGTGTGTGTGTGTGTGTGTGTGTGTGTGTGTGTGCATGTGTACGTACATATATACACCCTATCCATCCATTGAATAGGCTATCAGGTAGCAATGATAACCTTGGTCACTTTAGTTCAGCTAATTATCTTTCTGACTACTACTGAAAAACATCCCCTGAGTTCCAGGAAAAAGAAAACTACCAATGCAGTGAGCTTTCTCTCTATATACATATCACATTTTTCAAGACATCATAAGCTGCTGTGCTCATGAACATAACGCTGGAGTAACTGATGAAGCTCTGGAAGCCAGTAAGATCTCCTAGAAGGGACTATCATTTTCAGCACCTTGGAGAGAGCAAGCAGCACCCCAGGTTTAGAATCTCAAAGATCCAGAAAGCAAGCCAGTATTAGAGCTGTAACCACTGTGGAAGGCTGCAAAGAGGGCAGGTTAGCCATTCTGCTCAAGCAAGTTTGCTCTCTGACCCAGGAACACATCACATCCATCCCCTGCCTCGAGTCTCTGGCCCCAAGGCTTTTCCCTGATTGGATCCCTCTGCCCAGATGTTTTTGAATTGCTGTGCACGGTTCATCCGCAGGTCTCCGCCCCATGACTTTGCAGAAAACCTTGCCTCGCTCCTTATTTCTGTATTTTACTCTGTTCATCCATGTTGTCTGCATTTGAAACCAAGCAGTTCATTCTCTCCTTGCTAAGCTATTCTCTCTCTAACCCCAAACAGAAAGTGGACCTTGTGAAGGAATAGATCATCTTTGTGTTATTCAGTGTTGTAACTTTAGGGTTTTAAGCCTATCTGATGCCTAGAATGTTCTCTGTAAATATTGGACAATTAAGGAAATGAAGTAAGACAAGCAATAGGACCATGAAATTAGACTTGAAGTGTAGGAGACAATTGACAACCTTGAACTGAACAGCTTGAGTAGACACCAAATGCTTCCTATTAGATTTAAAATAAGACTATGGTTAAAGATAAAAAGGTCTCTGTTCATTAGCATGGTCCATACAAGAACCCGTATCTACCACACTCATTAAGTGGCAAAGCCAATCCTAAATTTTAATTTCTAGAGAAGTTAATTTCCAGAATAGATAATTTTCTTGGTGATGGGATACTTTGTTTTACTGTTACCTGTTTTGGTGCTGACACAGTGTCCCTGTTTACATAGTCCAGGCTGGCCTCAAAGTCTAGATCCTCCTTCCCAGCCTTCCTCAGCCTCCTGGAGGCTGAAACTACAAGCATGTGACAACGTGTGAGATAACCAATACAACTTTTGAGATTTATTTTAAAAAATATTGTGTGTACGGGCGTTTTATCAGAATGTCTGGGTACCACATGTGTATAGTGCCTGTTTAGGCGAGAACTGGACAGCAGACCCCCTGGAATTGGAGACTCAAACAGTTGTTAGCTGCCATGTGGGTGCTGGGAATTGAACCAGGGTCCTCAAAAGGCAAATAGTGCTCTTAACCATTAATCCATATCTCCACCCTCAATTAATACCTTTTTTTAAAATAATACAAACTAAGCAAAGGCAATCCCTCTGTGGTTCTCTTAAAGGCAGCTGTTGTTTCCTCTTCAACCATAACAAAGAACTTTGATTTTTCTCAGCGACATCAGGTAGAGACTGATAAGGCAAATAATTGAGTGTTGCCTGAACCATAGCCCCTGTCATTTACGTGCAAAATTACTGGGAGATGAGAGCATCTCTGAACATGGGGAAGGGATGGATATATACCACATAGTTATGGGGAAGGGATACATACCAAGTAGTGGACAAACTGCTAGTGAATCCAGCAAACAACTTTAATGTGGACCATGAAGTGGCTTTAAGCCTTCCGAATCATTACCAATGTTTTGAAAAGTTAAATTGAGATATATAGAATTTCTTAAAAGTTCAGAAGTTCTGGAATTATTGACCTTGGAATTCTTACATAGAAATATAACCTAACGTGGGTTGGCCACTGCTTCTTTAAAGGTGATTTGGATCTAAGGGCTTCTACTATGTGAGGATAAGTTTCTGTTTAAAATCTACACGACAATTTTCCCTCCCAAACTATCAGTCTATGGTATGGTGGCACAAGCATGAAACTTGAAGCTAAGTGCATAATAAAGACATTTATAAGGACAAGGCACAGTGTGAACGTACCTGCCTTTATACATATACAGCTGGTATTAAACAAATGATTATTGCATAAATTAATAAAAGTATGAGAGCATTGACCAAAATTCTAAACCCTAAAAATATGACTTATTGCTATGCATAGTACAGTTTCTGAATCCACTATTTTTTCCTTTTTTCTCATATTTTTTCCACTTTTTATCTCAAGATTAAGAACAGAGCATTACTTCATTAATTAAGGCCTAATCAGATCATCTATTAATCTTCAGTTGGGCAGTCACACTACTGTGCTGCACCTCCATAGCACCATCGAAGTACTGAAGTCGAATCTCCTTGGTTTGGAGAAGTGGGTCGGCCCTGGTTGTCACTCTTTGAACAAGCCTCTTGGTTTTCTAGTCCAAAGTTTGTCCATCTGTGGAACCAGGTGGTCTCCACCTGGACTTCCTGCTTCATAGCCTCTGTCCCTGCAAAAATGAGAAAAAAAAGATAAGTGTCTGGGGCTTCAGAGATAGCAGAGTCCATCAGGGAAAGACGAGAAAAAACACCCGTACCTTATAATTAAGGCAAAGAGACTTCCAAGAGTCCTGGCAGCAATCCACGGAGGACCAGCAATGGAACACGAACTCATTAGCAGTGTGTTGAGTAAGACTCAGAGAGAAAGACAAGGCCGATGAGGAGGAAGTCCAAACGGAGACAGGGGATTATAAAGCAAGAGTAGGGAAACTATTGCTAATTAGGTCATTTAGACACTGAACGACTGAATGTGATTCCTTCTGAAGCATCAAGAGAACAGCCAGGGGAGGCATAATAGCACAAGAATATATGCTACTAGGCAAAAACAGGATCCCTGAGCAACTCGGGACAGCAATACCCAGGCAAGCTAATGGATGTCAGATGGAAAACAGCACCTAATTTTCAAGCCAATCTCACCTGAGGAGACAGACTTGAAAGAAAATACACAAAAGAAGCACATATACGTAAGCACTCGGAAAATATTTGTTAAATCGAATTCTATCTGCAAAAGCTCAGGTTGCTTTACTGTTCTAAAACCCTAACTTGAAGGAAATGAAAAATACAACAAATCTCAGAGTGATAATTCCAAACAGAGTCAACAAAAATACATTCTGGGCAAAAACCCCTTGTCCTTAAAATATAAAATTGAAATAATTCTATTTGCCCAGATTCATCGCTAGCCTACATCAACAAGATAGAGGCCAAGACCTATATCGAATTTGCATCCACTTGGGCCTAACAGCACCGGGCACAGTAACTTTGAATGCATGCATGCTTACATCTAGATTATTTGTTGGTATAAAACAAAGCATCCCAGATTAACAGTCTCAGACAACAGCTACTTTCTTCTCTCATCATTCCATGGGATGACTGTGTCCTATGGGAAGCTCTTTGGGGTCTCTTCCTTCTCTCTTGTGATGAGCAGCATATGTCAGTTGACAGTAAGTTATCTGGAGGCCAGGGGGCTATGGTGACTTTCCCTCCACATGGTTTTTCACCCCCTGTGTGGACTCTCCGTGGAGTCAGTCCAGTGAGGTAGACAGACATCTCACATGGGGTTAAGTATTCCAAAGCACAAAATCAGAAGCTAGCAGATCTTCGCAAGCTTTTGAGCTAGAGCTGGGACATCTGGAATATTCCGCTGGTTAAAGCAGATCACAGGGCAAACCTATGACTCAATGCCTGAGGCAGCGACGAAAGAATGAGTCTGAGGAGAGATGGTTCGTTGACGTTTGCCCTCCCTCTTCCTGTGGAGCAAGCAGGCTTAGAGTCATTTACTCGCTAGCACGTACCATTCTTTAGAGACAGGAAGAATGACTCAGAGATGAGACCTAAAGTCCAGAGGTTGAAACCAAGAGCTGAGAGGAATAATCCCAGAAATCAAAAGGGAGGTTTGAACACAGAGCGTCCCTTAACTTCCTTAAGTGGAAGAAATCAGGGACTCCGCCAGCCTGGATTTCAGAATTGCTGTAATCCCCTTCCTCCTCCTTTGGAAGAGAGAGTACTGTAGTTTCCTGACCCTTTCACTGCTCAGTAGTGGTGAATGGGGGACACATAGATTATTCCCTTCCTTGATCTTTGTCCCTAAGAGGAAGTGCACATAAGGAGTCTCAACCATGCTGCGTTATCCTGGACTTTCGACTGGTTTCACACAGCATGAGGTTTGCATAAGGAAGAGAAATTTTCGTATGAGAAGACATGAATCAGGAAGGTGGTGTCAACAGGCCATGACCCCCACGACTATCACTTGGTGCAGATTCCTCTCCCACTTGCCCTAGGACTTGGTGCAATGACGTGGCTGAACCTGGAGGTACTGACACTCCACTGGCTAGTGGGAGCGGTGTACCATTGAAAGCCTCCATTTGCTTCGCTTTTTCAGATACTGAGCCTCTGGGTAAGAAGTCTGGCAGTCACTGTTGAGAGACCACCCTTCAGGCTGACATGAAGAGTCCATGCAGAGAGGGAAAGGCCCTGAGACTGATAAGAGAGAAAAAGAGGCCCAGCAGATCTAATAACCCAGCTAAGACTCTACTCACTACCCCTACCCAAGAGAACACCAGAGATACTGGCATATAAACTGTCAGCGGGGTCAACCATAACCATACAAAAGCAATAAAACACTTGGTTTTAGCCACTGAATTTTAGGACAGTTTACTAACACAGATGCTGGCAACCCCTGCCATAAATCAGTGTGTGATCATGGGCAAAATATGATGCTTAGAGGTTGTTATGTTTTCATATACCAAGCCAGTTTAGAAACTGAGACTATATGAGAAATATGAGAATATGATATGAAAAAAGAATCCTCTCGTCTATGTTGGCTAAAATCAGGAGAATCTCACAAACAAATTATGAACCGTGTTTATAGTCAAAACATGTCTCAATGTCCTTATGGCCTATGGATAATAAGAATTCCTTTGACCTTTTTCCAATTTGTTTTTTATCTCATCATCTTGTAGACCTGTACTCTGTGTGTGTATGCATGTGTGTGTGTGTGTGTGTGTGAGAGAGAGAGAGAGAGAGAGAGAGAGAGAGAGAGAGAGAGAGAGAGAGAGATTTAAATGTAATTCTATTGAAAAGTCTGTGCCCACTCTAGGATTCATGTTATAATCCTCTTCCTAAGTCCCCCCCCCAAAATACTGAGCTTAAATATACATTAAAATTGTTTTGATTAATTGCAGCAATTGAGTCATTTTGAAATTCCTCTCTATGCTGTTAAAGCAAGAGTTCCAACTGCACCTCACAAGAGGTCTCTGGAAATAACACCTCCGGAAGCCATAACCATCAACATTGTTCATCTCTCAGTGCCATCGTCAATACAAAGGTCTGGTCTCAATCCAAGGAGTGTGTATTGAGACCCTGCATTGGCATGGAGGAAAAATGGAGCTCCTTTGGATCCACTTACCTGTTTCATCCCGGGGAATCAGACGCACCCCTAGACATAAGGTGTTGAAATATGAAGCGGCGGGGCTGCGTCCCCAACACCCCGGCCGCTTGGCTAGCTTATGCCCGAAATAACAACACACAAACTGTATTCATTTAAAGAACTGCTTGGCCCATACTCTAGCCCTTATAGGCTAATTCTCGCACCTGGACTAGCCCATTTCTAATGATGTTTGTAAGCACCCCAAGGTGCGCTTACCGGGAAGATTCTAGCCTACATCCATCTTCATCGCGTGTGCCTCAGAGAGCAGAGCTATCGCGTCTACCCGGGAGAGCTGAGCATGGCGTCTGTGCTCCAGCAGAGCTGTCCGGTCTCTCCGGAAGCAGAGCAGAGTCTGACCTCACTTCCTCTTCCGCCCAGAATTCTATTCTGTTTACTCCTCCCATCTATGTTCCAAGCCATGAGGCCAAGCAGCTGGTTTATTATAACTTAACCAATGAAATCAACAGATTGATATATGACACTCCCACATCACTTCCCCTTTTTCTGTTTAAACAAAAAAAAAAAGGCTTTAACTTAACATCCAAAGCTCTAGAAATGACAGAGACATCTCGCTGCCTGGACAGTCACCCAAAGTTCCTCTGTACCGTTGGGGCATCCATCTTCGGCCTACAGGCCCATAGTTTCCAGCAGACATTTCCACAAAGCAGGAAATTTCAAAGGCAGTCACTATCTGCTTGTCCTGAAGAATGTCTTGCAGACTCTTTCATGAATCAGGAACCCCGAAAGATCATCTCACCTTTAGGCAAGTTCAGCAGTCCTCTCTCTGCGGGTTCTCTGTGTCCAGTTTATGCAATAGTCCAGGCAAGAGCAGTTTCTTGCCCAAATGGCTATCAAACTCCATAAGGATCCTCTTCGATGCCCATCTTCCTCTTGAAGTAGATTGGTGCTGCCAGGAGCAGAGTGTCTCATTGTCATGAAAAGTCCTAAGTTATTAAAACATTTAAAATGCCATATTCTATAATCTTTGAAAAATATGAAGAATGCCTATCTAAAATATATCTATGCACATCTAGAAAATCTTAACTAACATGACTACAAACTTAACTATTATTAATGATTATTCATTAACAACCTATATACATTACAAAATTAACCTTAAATTTAAATCACTAAAGCAAAATCCATATCAATGTAAATTATTCATACCTATATCATCTCCCCCTTTAAATGTAAAAGAACATTTATAAACAATATTTGGGAATATGGGCGCAGTTTTTTCTCTCCAAACTGCTTCCTGCTGAATGGGGGCGTCGTTAATTAGGTCTTTCATGGTATAACCTGTGTGCTAGTTTCATCTCAGTTGGCAGTTGAGCGAAGCAATTTTCTGAAGGTATTCACAGCAACCGTTCAGGAGGGCGTGGTCCATCATACCATATCGGAATAGAAGAAATGAACAGGGTCTCATCCTCTGTGAAAACAAAATAAGAAACTCCTTTCCAAAGTATCATGTCCTTAGATCCAAATTTCAAAGTCAAGGCATCAAAATCTCTACGATGGATTAGTTCAGCAGCATTTATAAACAAATATCTTTTAGCATCTGTTGCTCCTTCCTCAGCATTCAAACAATTCAAAGAGAGCATAATAGTATACAGTATCAAGATTCTCTGTGTATTTTCCATCTTTGTACGCTTTATTTTAACCTCTATTTCGTTTATTTTTACTTTTATTTTATATTCTCTGTATCTCTTTGACCTGGAATAACTCTGTAGACCAGGCTCTCCTTGAACTCTCAGAGATCCGCCTGTCTCTGCCTCCCAGGCATTGGGATTAAAGGTGTTTGCTACCACACCTTGAACTCACAGAGATCTGTTTGTCTCTGCCTTCTAGGCACTGGGATTAAAGGCGTGTGCTACCACACCTTGAAGTCACAGAGGTCAATCTCCCTCTGCCTCCCAAGCGTTGGGATTAAAGGCGTGTACTACCACACACAACTTCTCTTTTTCTTACTTTTTTTTTAAAACTTTTAACTTTTAGCTTGCATATATTTTTAACACACTGTAAATCATTTAAACATTTTCTTTATCTTTGAATCTCTTTACTGTATATCTCTCTTTTTCTGACCACACGAGCCTTTAAATTACTGAGCAATATGAGTAGGATTAAAGCCGTGGCTTTGCCAGCTAGATCCAGTCCATTCCTTAGCTTTCCAGCCTCATGGCTGAGGTACCGGTTGTAGCCATGTTTACTGCCACAACTCTATGGCATTTCAAGGTCCCTGCCAGCAAGCGAGCTTCAGCAGCCTGTGCTTGCAAACCACACGAACCGCCTGCGTAAAAGAGTCAGAGTTTGCCGTGGCAGGACAGCCCAGAAAGCCGGCATTTTTAAACGGCACAGCTTTTTTCCTGCTACAGCTGAAAATCGAAAAGCATGCGTTCAGCTTTTCGTCAACACCATTTAAGTGTTTTGTGGCAGGACCTCTTAATGAGCTGCAGGGTTTTGCAGCTGAAGCTGAGTCAGGAAGCCTCTCTTAGATGAGAGCGCTTGCTTGCCTCTAGCAAGCAGAGTAGACCCAAGAAATTTGTGCCTACCAAGAAAACATGCTTCATTCCATTCTTTCCCCAGCTTTCTCAGGCTTTTTGTGGATTCAGTTAGCCACACGTCTGGGCGCCATCTGTTGAAATAGGAGCGGCGGCGGGGCTGCGTCCCCAACACCCCAGCCGCTTGGCTAGCTCACGCCCGAAATAACAACACACAAACTGTATTCATTTAAAGAACTGCTTGGCCCATGAACTCTAACCCTTACAGGCTAATTCTCGCACCTGGACTAGCCCATTTCTAATGATGTGTGTAAGCACCCCAAGGTGCGCTTACCGGGAAGATTCTAGCCTAAGTCCATCGTGGGTTGCAGCTGCCTGGGAGAGCTGAGCATGGCGTCTCTGCTCCAGCAGAGCTGTCGGGTCTCTCTCGGAGCAGAGCAGAGTCTGTCCTCACTTCCTCTTCTGCCCAGCATCCTATTCTGTTTCCTCCTCCCATCTATCTTTTAACCTATCAGAGCCAGCAGTTTCTTTATTGCTCAGCCAATGAAATCAACAGATTGATATGACACTCCCACATCAATAAGGAAAAAGTTTTTAGCTGAAAGTTAGGCATCTCCACGCTATCGACTCCAGCATCCTTACAGTGGCCTTGAAGCAACAGCGGCAGGAAGCCTCCACTCCGGGGACCCGTGACATGATAAAGTGATGTTTGAGGTGCTCATTTAGCAGGAGTATAGAGACAGGCTGTGGGGGTGTGGGATGGAAACTGATCTGAGTCTAACCCAAGGTGGATCCGAAGGAGAGAGCTGGGTGAAATATAGAATGTGAAAAATCACAAGGTTGGGAGAAAATGGTGCCATTAACATGAAAACGTAGGACTGCGAGGCAACTCGGAAAGCAGTAATGGATGGAGATCCACCCAGAATTACACTCACTCGTTTGGATCAGAGGAAAAATTAACAGGGCTATTGTATGGGCTGTGGGCAGCAAATGAGTGTCGGGGAGCAGACGAATCCAGGATGCTGCCACGTGCATCCATGTGTGTCCCATGATAAACGTCTGCGCCTGAGGGTTGGAATTCCAGAGAACTGCCTCATCGGACTTCTTCCTGAGGCTGTCGTCATACTTCCAGACAACCCAAGAGTCACAGTAGAGAGGAAGTGCTCCTGGGATAGAGCACAAGGCACCAAGCCTAACTTCACACCCACCGGAGATTCATTATCACCTACCCACCAAGCAAAGTAATAAAATTCCATTACTTATGCTTCAAACAGGCACTGTATATGGAAATGAACTCGGTGCCTCACCGATAACTTGGTAACATCTCAGCATCCTCCAGGCCCTCTGAAGAAGCATCTGTCTTTCATCACTCATGGGTCCAGAAGTCCTGTATTTAAGGCAGAAATTGGAAATGAACAATACTGTGACAATGACAGCATGCTTGGGTGGCTTTGGCTCTGTCATGCCGAGTGACCCATTGTTTTATGCCTCAACGTTTAAAACAATAAAGCAGAATTTGAAAACCATGCTCAAATGGATCTGAAATCCAGATGCCTCTTTAATGTATTTTTATCGTTTCTTTTGTTTGTCCAAGTTGCTTACTTGCATATATTGTGTTCTGTATATTGAATCCTTGGATCCCCGTCCTTCCTTCCCTCAGCCCCTCCTTCTTCCTGTTGGTTTTTTTTTTTTTTTTGGTACCCCAGACAATTTTACTTCTACTCCCATGTCTTGTATGTGTGTGTGTATGCGTGAGCATGTGTGTGGGAGGGGGAGATTTGTGTATTTACATAAAATCTGGGAACCACAAATGAGATAAACGATATTTTCCTTTCTTTTTTCATTTGTTTTTTAGAATACTTTCAATGTCTAAGTTTTTAAATTTTTTGAGAATTTTACACAAGAATTTTACAATGTTACATCATTTCTGCCCATCCATCTTTCTCCTCCCTCCAGCTCCTCCTGTGTCCCCCTCACTCCATCTCAAATTCATGAGCTCTTCCTTTTTAATTATTGTTACATATTGTGTGTGTGTGTGTGTGTGTGTGTGTGTGTGTGTGTGTGTGTTTGCTCCTCTGTATATGCGATTAGTGCTGACCACTTTGGGACTGAATAACCTATCAGGGGCCTCATCCCTGGACAAGACCCATTCTCCCTCTCTCCACCGCCATGATAGACTCTAGCTCTTCATCTAGGTGTAGGGCCTTGTGAGATTTTCCTCAACAGTGTTGGCATGTCAGCTGGCCCAATGGCGCCAGGCTTATTTAGGCGACCATATACTTGAGATCCTACGAGCCCAGCATTCCTGTCATTTATAGAAGACACCATCTTTACAACAGATGCCCTGGTCCACTAGTTCTTACGATCTTTCTGCCACTTCTTCCTTGATGTTCCCTTCTTGGTATATACCTAAGACTGGTTTAAATTACTTAATATGATTATCTACAGTTATACCCATTTCCCTGCTAGCAGCATAACTTGGTTCTTTATGGATTATGAGAAAACCTTGTTGTGCATGTGTAACACATTTTCCCTGTCCGTTTTCTGTTGTTGGACACCTAGGTTGGCTTCACAGTTTATCTATTTTAATGTACTTTCAAAACCAAAGTATAGGGCTGGAGAGATGGCTCAGCGGTTAAGAGCACTGACTGCTCTTCCAGAGGACCCGGGTTCAATTCCCAGCACCCACATGGCAGCTCATAACTGTCTGAAAAAAATAAAAGATAAATCATAAAAAATTTAAAAAAAAAAACCAAAGTATATAGTTGATACCTCTCCTATTAGGGACCAACTATAGTTTATATTATACCATTACAACTCTTTAGTAATTGCTTATTCTTCAGAAAACAAAATATTTTCTTTGAGGTAGGGCCATTTTAAAACTATTGTGGCACATATTGATAATTTTTAAATATACCAAATTTCAGCTGGCTTCACTTTCTTTTTAAATCTTTTTTCTTTTAAATAAACTTTATTATAAAACTTGCAAGCAAATAAAAAATTCAATTTTTTTTTCAAAATTCTCCTCAGAAATGTGTCCAAATATCATCTCTGCCCATGGTGAACCATTCCCACTGGCCTTGCTGTGCTAGACAGTCTCAAACACAGTTGCACAGTGAGATGGCACTGACATGCCTCAGTTTCCCCAGAGTAAATGGCTGTCAGTCAGATTGAAGAGACAGACTGGAGTTCTCTTAGTCACCGCTGAACAACCAATGTGGAGCGACGTTCCTTCCCATTACCTCTCCCACACAGTCTCATATCATACAACAATCAAAATAAGAACTAGTATTTTCACCACTTCCTCTAGGCCAGGTCTCACATGAGGGGCTTTGCAGAGAGACTCTCATTCAGTTCTCACAGCAATGGTCCACGGCACTCCATCTCTCCTGCTTTGTCATCAAGTTAAATAAGCTTGGAGAAGCCGAGCCGGTCACCCAAGGATTGAGTCAGTGCACTGTTGCTTGGACTGCCAGTTCTCCACAGTATCTGACCTTTTCTCTCTCTTTTTCTTTGACATACTGCTAGATCATGATCTTAACTCTATTGCATCTAGACTAACTGCCGCCAGTGGGATGAAGAGAAAATGATTAATGCCACCCTCGACTGGTGCCTGAAACAAGTCCCGCCAGATTGCCCCTACTTGTTTCCTTTCTGTGTCTGCCGGATGAATGCAGGGGGTGTGTTGGAAGACTTAGAGGAAGAAGCCTGGACCCCTGCACTAGGGTTCCAGAGAGACATGAAATAGGATGGACATACACACATGTAAATATACATATTAGTGAAGGCACACATCCATAAACTGGAAAAACATATAGACACACATGTGAGTAGGTTGGTTATGCAATGTTGGCTCACAGAGTTACAAAAACTGAGGAGTCTTAAGACCTGTAAGGTGGGATCCAGCAAAGCTGGTGGTACAAAGGCCAGAGCGCCAGAGAACCGTGGGGAGAAGACTGATGCTTCTGGCCAAGCTTTCAGACGTGAAACCAGAGAATCTTCTGTTTCTCCATACTTTTCTTTTACTTTAGCCCTCAGCAGACTAGATAAGACCCTCCCACACTGGGGATGGTAAACTTCTTCCTCAACACAACATTTTTTTTATTTTTTGCTGGTCTCTTTAAGACACACTCTCATAGAAATAATATTTAATGAGATTCTTGGGCATCCTGTGGTCTAATCAAGTTGACAGCATGTAGTTAGCCATCACGACCCCTGGATCTCTTCATGGGTATATGTAAACACGATCAAGTTCAAACTAATCTTCTGAAAGACGAATTTTCTGAAAGATGGAATTGGAATGAGCCATCTTTGCTGAGCCAGCTAAGTTTAGCCAGCCCTCAGCCTTCTTTGCAGCTGACCACAGATGTGCAAGATTTAAAAAAAAAAAAAAAAAAAAAAAAAAAAAAAAAAAAAAAAAAAAAAAAAAAAAAAAAAAAAAAAAAACACAAACTACAACATGGGAGGCAAATGCATCCTTATTGTGAGAAGACACTGTGAATTTTATATATTATCACTGTTGCTTTTAATAAATTCCAAATCCTGTTCTTTCCAGAGGCAGAAAGGCAAGACAGGTGATGCATGCCTTGTCCTAGTGAAGTTCTCCCATGGTCACCTTGCTGTTTAGAAAACTGACGCTAAGACACCTTACACGCGTGCTTTCACCAGTACTAGAAAAAAAATCTGGGAAAATACTCTCATGGGAAAGTTTCTGTTATATAACAAGCTGTCCCCAAACCAAGTAGCTTACAATGAGACAACCCTGCATAAATACCAAAGCCTCCCCCCAAAAACCCATATTTTAGTGCACAAGTTTGATACTCTACAGTGTTTGCTGGGTGCAGCTGGGTCATTCTGCCCCTAACCCATGCTCTGCTGATATCAGCCGGGCTCACCCAGGTATCTGAGCAGCTGAGGGTTGAGCGGGGTGATGAAGTAAGCATGACTGAGCTAGTTGTCTCCACTTGCAGTGTCTCTTCCTCCAGTAGACAGCTGAGCTTGATTGCTTGGTAGCCATGGCAGAGGACGCAAGAACAGCAAGAGAACAAAACTGCCTGCTGTCAAGTTACTTGGTCAAAGCAGGTTCGATGGTTATGCCAAGAAAAAGTGTGGGAAGCCATTATCAAATGCATGGGTATGGAGAGAGAGAACAAACAGGGTGATTATTACAGCCATTCTACTGCAACATCCTAGGATCACTGTAGAGGGACCACAGTGACAACAGCTATGCCCCCAAAGTCATTTCTTTTAGCCTCTGACCTTCAAACCTCCAGCTAACCAACAGTAACAGAATCTTCAGGACAGCAGCACCAGTTACCAGTTAGAGTTTTTTTTTGGGGGGGGGGGGCGGGTTTTTTTGTTGTTTTGTTTTGTTTTGTTTTGTTTTTTGGAGTTTATTGGAAACCACGCTTGGAAAGAAGTGACCGATTTGTTGCTCTTATGTGTTTTGGGAGGGCGCTGGGAGGCAGAGCACTAACTCCCTCTGATTGAAGCATGTTTCCGCAGGATATGAGAAATCTCCCTTCAAAGAAGGAATTGTGAGGTAATGAGCACCCTGCCTCCTTGTCCTCCTCCACATGGCAAAGATGCTGTGTAGTGATTTCCTGAGACAGAGCCCTCCATCTTGGAGGGAAGCTCCTTAAGCTGAGGGAGTAAACCTCTCACAGACTTCAGGAAACCCTTGGAACTGAACAGGTTTATTAAGCCCCTACCTCCCCAAGCGAATATAAGCAGTAAGAACTGCTAAGAGACCATCCCAAACAAACTGAGCTGCCTACAAGGCTTCCCAACAAGCTGACCCGCCTAAAAGAGGTCAGACCAGCCAGGCTACTGGAAGGAGACAGACCTGCCAGATTACCTAGAAGGAGCTCAGATAAGCTGAGGTTCCAGAAAGGGACAGTCTCATGCATTCTAGGTTTCCAGCTTTCACTGGCTGTCACATACGCTGGGGTAAACTTTTGGTGATGGAGCTGTCTGTGTCATTTTGCTCTTATAAGTAACCACTCACCCATATTTTTTCAATAACCCCAATAAAATTCACCAGATCAGCACAACACCAAGTTGGACTTCGGTGGTATCCTGACTTTGGTCTGTCCTTAGTTCCCCTTTCTGGGGTGAGTAGATGTTTGTTTATATCTCTGTAGGAACAGGGTCACACAATAGAGGATGTAACCAGCTGAGTGTGGTACTCTCTGGCCCTTAAAGTGGGAGGAATACAGAAAGATAGTGAGGTTAAAAGAAAAATCAATGGAGCTACTGTCCAAGCTGCTACCCCGGTTTTCTTGTATTACAGCTTCTTCTTTGCCTTAGTTTCTAATAGCAAGGGCTTCTCTTTTTGACTTACTGTCTCTATAAAAGCACATTTCATTTAACAATATCTCAGCCAAG